GGTGTACAGTGTGCTGTACTTGGGCTCATGCCTCCCCGACTCATCACACCACTATTTTACACATCACACCATATTTTGTGCCATGTGTAGAATAGTTGTCTTGTAATGTTATTGTGCGTGTTTGGCATGTGGCTCTCCAGTATTTTCCACGTGTATATCTCGCCTCTTCCAAATAGTACAGTTTGAGTTCTTAGAGTCGATCCCAGAAGTTTAAGGACTTGGCTGATGTATCAGTTTTTGACACGAAAAAAAGCAATGATAGTTGTTTAGGCAGAATAACTATTAGACCTAGTCAGTCCTCCTGGCCGGGGAGGATTGAATACGCGCCAATTTTTATATGTACGCCTCTGTTCACCCAGCAGTAATTGGGTACCTGGTTGTTAAAAGATTAGTGGGTCGTGTTCCAGGGAAACAAGAAGGATAAGGCGCACCATGAACTATGGGAAGGGAAAGCTCTCAGCCTGGTAACAGGAGCCAACAGTCACCTGTTCCTGCACCCGCCCGCGTACAACACAATAATAAACTGGGGTCAGACGGCGGTGTGGCCAGGTGACTCTTGCGCCTCTCAAATACCTTGTTGTTCATTACTCGTCAACTTTTATTCTTATTCTTCCTCTGGGCACATATTCGCAAAGAGGCATTACGAGAGAGAGAGAGAGAGAGAGAGAGAGAGAGAGAGAGAGAGAGAGAGAGAGAGTGAGTGAGTGAGTGAGTGAGTGAGTGAGTGAGTGAGTGAGTGAGTGAGTGAGTGAGTGAGTGAGTGTGTGTACTTAGTTATGCTTGCAGGGGTTGAGCTTTGGCTCTCTGGTCCCGCCTCTCAACAGACAATCAACTGGTGTAGAGATTCTAGAGCCTACTGGGCTCTATCAAATCTACATTTGAAACTGTGTATGGAGTCAGCCTCCACCACATCACTGTCTAATGCATTCCATTTGTTAACTACTCTGACACTAAGTTTTTGTTCTTATGTCTCTGTGGCTCATCTGTGTACTAAGTTTCCATCTGTGTCCCCGTGTTCGTGTTCCACCCGAGCTAAATGGTTTGTCTTTGTCCACCCTGTCAATTCCTGTTGAGAATTTTGTAAGTGGTGATCATGTCTGCCATTACTCTTCTGTCTTACAGGGACGTCAGGTTTAGCTCTCGTAGCCTTTCCTCGTAGCTCATACCTCTCATTTCCGGGACGAGTCTGGGGGCATACCGCTGAATCTTCTCTAACTTTGTCTTGTGTTTAACTAGGTATGAACTCCAGACTGGAGCTGCATATTCCAGGATTGGTCTGACATAAATGGTATACAGGGTCCTGAACGATTCCTTACACAAGTTTCTAAAGGCAGTTCTTATGTTGGCCAATCTAGCATAATCTAGCACGCTGACAATATCCTTTTATTGTGGGCCTCTGGGGACAGGATCAGTGAAATATCAACCCCCAGATCTTTCTCTCTCTTTGACTTTTGCAGGATTTCACCTCCCAGATGGTACCTTGTGTTCAGCCTCCTGCTCCCTTCACCTAATTTAATTATATTACATTTTCCTGAGTTAAACTTTAGTAGCCATTTTCTAGACCATTCCTCCAGTTTGTCCAGGTCATCCTGTAGTCTCTCGTCTATCTTCATTTGTCTCAATTCTTCTCATAATTTTTTGCATCATCAACAAACATTGAGAGGAATGAGTCTATAACCTCTGGAAGATCGTTTACGTATATCAGAAACAGGATGGGTCCAAGTACAGAGCCCTGTGGGACTCCGCCGGTAACTTCTCGCCACTCTGATGTCTCCCCCCCCCCTCACAGTTACTCGCTGTTTCCTGTTAATTAGACCCTGCCTTATGCACTGGATCACCTTACCTTTTACTCCTGCCTGTTGCTCCTACGCTTGTAAGTCTGTATGGGGGTACTGTGTCAAAGACTTTCTGACAGTCTAAGAAAATGCAGTCTGCCCACCCTTCTCTTTCATGCCTAATTTTTGTCGCCTGGTCATAGACTTCTATTAAGCCTGTGAGGAATGATTTACCGTCCCTGAACCCATGTTGGTGCGTGACGAAGCTCCTCTCCCGATGTTCTAGGAACCTTTTCCTCACGATCTTCTCCATCACCTTGCATGGTATACAAGTTAGGGAAACTGGCCTGTGTGTGTGCGTGCGTATGTGCGTGTGTGTGTGTGTGTGCTTTAGTTTACAGATAATTAATCCCATTGTTTGTGGCCCCCGGCACAGATGAAGGTGTACATGGCGACGCAGGTGTTTCAGGAGTTACTGCGAAAGGTACATCACAGCCGGGTATTATGTCCACTCTGTATGACCACCGCTCACACGACGAGTATGGAGTGCACAATAAACTAGCGGCGCCAACAATCACAAAATGTATAGAACTATATTTTGGCCGAGACACTACAGCTTGGTGGAGCGGTCACCCCGGCCCCCCCCCCACCCCCCTCGCACTTTAATATAATTCCCTACAATATTCCCTCATACAGTGTGTAACCGCATGATAAATACTGTCCACAATCATCATGAAACTTTAGCTCAAATTTTAAACATAATGGTAACCTAATTTTTTGGTGTTCCATTATTGTTGTGTTAAACGTGGTGGTGTTTATAGCTGCGTCGCCTCGTTAAGTCTGGCAGTGTTATCTGGCCAGTTAACGCTCAAAATGTCAGGGGAAGAATGTTGGAGTTGTTTAAAGGTATGTGGGCGGTGGGCGGGGCACCTGCGGGTTCCTCGCCCTAACCAGGTGTGGTCACGCCCTCTAAATACCCAAAACTACCCAGAGCTTCTTGGTATTACGTAAAGTAATAAAGAAATATGACATATTTACTCACTATAATGTTGGTGCTGAATGGTGAACATGAAAATACATATTTTTACTCTGATATTATATATTTTAAATGATATTATTTCAGAGTAAAGATATGTTTTTGTCATGATCAACATTTCAGCACCAACATTATAGTGTGTCATATTTGTTCATTGTTTACGTAGTGCTAGGAAGATTTGGCTAGTTTTGGGTTGCTTTGAGTAGCTTTGGGAAATTAGAGGGAGCCGGTGTTGGGGCTCCTGGTCCAGTTGTGGCCAGCACCTGGACCAGCACCTGGTCCATGACCTGGTCCAGCACCTCACCCGCTCCCTCACTGAGCACGCTCATTCCCTAGTACCTGTCAGTACCGTTGTACACGCACCTGTTCAGTAATTAACGTCACCACCTGTACTGTGCACCACCGCACTCTCTAACTAGCCGTTGAACGCACCGTTGGTAGTCACCATAGTAATTACGCACCGTGGAGTACTTGCTTGTATTGACCATATATGGTGCACCAACACGCACTCTACACTGACCTTGCTCGGGCAGCGTGGTCAACGTCTCTTACACTGTACTGATATAAGCACGAGTCACACTCACATTACTGATCATCATATACGGTAATAACATGCATATGGGCTGCTATATTGTCAGCCACTCTTCCGTGGATATAATTATTCAATTCGCCTGGGCTCTAGGAGACTCGAACCGTGGACCCCCCGCGTGTGAGGCCGAAGTTCTATCGCCCGAGCTACTGAGTAGTCTTAATGTCGTGGGCCTGGATTACCAATTCCTCTGAGGTTCAGTAGCAGTCAGGAGAAAATCGAAAATTTCAGTGTGGCAGCAGGTTGCTGCTACTGGAAACTTTCCGTTTTAAAGACTACTCAATAGCTCGGTCGGTAAAACTTCGACCTGACACGCGTGGGGTCCGCGGTTCGAGTCTCCTGGAGCCCAGGTGAATGGTACATGGTGTGGGTTATGGAGCAGTGACGCGTCAAGCTCACACTGTGGCGCGTCAACACTTAGCACCACGCTTACTGGATAACATTTGTGTTCAATTGTTTAGTTTATGAGTCGTGCTACTTGTTAATATGAGGGTCACGTGACTTAACGACCCTGGGTCACGTGAGGTCACTTGACCCTGGGTCACGTGAGGTCACTTGGCTCCGAATCACGTGAAGTCATTGACCGTGAACCACGTGCTGGGTGGCCTAAGTGTGGGGAGGCCTTGTGGTGGGGGAGGGGACGGGCAGGTGCACATAAGTTAACACGACCAAGTGGGGTGATGTAACACAGGTGGTCGTTTCTGTAATGGTAACCCGTTAATAGTTATAGGTGGAGGTGGTTGTTCAGGGCAGCGAAGATGACCACTTCTTCGTGTGAGTGGACACACTGTATCCCTGGTTAATATGACGACTGCCAGCTGCTAGGTAGGAGGACCCTCCTACCTCCTAGGTAGTAGGGCCGCCCTTCCCTCTAGTCCCCCTCTCACCTACTGCCAGTCATGGTGTATGACTGGACTCCTCCCGGACCTCTTGATAAACTCACTCTCCTTCCATGCTTCCTCCTGAAACACTGAAAATGACGCTTCCTTTTTTTTAATACATTTCTGTTTTCTTTTTCTTTGGATTTGAAAAGTACATTTCTGTTTACTTCTACTGTTTACTTATGATTATAACTGCGCAGCTGACGGATACACTTTGGTTATCTATATAAGCTATCTTCTCTCTACACCTGTTTCTCTGCTTCAATAATGGGACCTATGCATCGCGTGCCTCTATTCACGTGCCTACTCCTACCTGCAGCTTGCTGTGTGTGTGTGTGTGTGTGTGTGTGTGTGTGTGTGTGTGTGTGTGTGTGTGTGTGTGTGTGTGTGTGTGTGTGTGTGTGTGTGTGTGTGTGAGAGCATGTATACCATTTGCCTGTGGTGTTGTGCTTTTAACGTGCTGACCTGTGTGCACGACATGCATGTATAGTTTATATACACCCATGACCACTTGCTCATGTGCACGAACTACACGACCACATGTACATGTATTGGTTACGTTTGTGTGTACGCACACTGACTGTGTGCTTCTCTCACCTGCGTGTGTGTGTGTGTGCACTGATTTAACGATTGCACAACTTGCATGTTCGGTGCGTCATCAACTGTGTGCACACGCTGGCCGGCCTGTGCTCCCTGCTGGACCTCTGGTGGTGGTACAGGACCCTTACCCCCTCTACTCTCTCCTCCACCTCCACGACAACGTAAGTAGCACGAGTCGTCTACTGCTCTCTGTCTCTACTGCAGGCTCTACTTCTACTTCTACTTCTACTTCTACTGCAGACTCTACCTCTACTTCTACTGCAGGCTGTACTTCCACCTTGTACTGAACCTTTAGCTCAACCTCAGGCTATATTTATGTCTCAAACTCTACGCCAAGCTCTGAAATCTGCCTAGGGTTCTACATTTGCCTTTGGTTCTACCTCTATTTCAAGCTCTATTTGTGCGTGGGTATTCTTATGCTAATGTTCTCTCTTTGCCTTAGTGGTGACGATGTGTTCTCCCAAGACGGTGTGTTCAAGACATTCAACAGTCACATTGTCATCCCAACATTCCCCCAGACCTTCCCCCCCCCCTCCTCCTCTCCTTCCATCCATCTGTTTATGCATCGTCTCTTGCCTTCGTTGCTGCTATTATTTCATAATATATTGTCAAAAGTATGCAAAGGCATCTTAATTAAAAAAAATCTTGAAGATTCAGTTTCCAGATGTGCGAATATAACTAGCCTGAAAACTGTTGTACTGAATTTCCAGTCACATAGGTGTTGCCACCAATAATCTATCAGATATGTCGCTGCTGAAGAAGCCGTTCCGTACCTCTCCCATATCCTTGAAGTCAATCCCTTTCTCGGATTTATACTGTCGTTCATACAGTGACCCGCTGGAGAGATGGATGGTTGGCCGTCGCCAGCGACAAGTGTCGTCGTGCGTGACCTGTCGCCGGAATTGTGGCACCTCTCCTGCTAGGTCGTGTGTCGGAGATGCATTGTTCCTTTAAGTCACTCATCTAGTAAAATATCCGAATTTTCAGGATGATCTGAAGTTTTGCTTTTCCCCACTGTTCCTGTGCTCCACGTGGCCCTCCAGTATATATATCCTCGGTGCATGAGTTCTTAGACGTCGCTCATGTTGGGTCTTCTACTCTCGTACCGGCATCCGGAATTATATCTAGGAGCTCTTGAGTACTCTGTAACATAGAGAGTGTGTATACTCGTACTGTACTGGTTTAGTACTTTCTTTTGATAATTACTCGTCTCATCAGCAACCAATCTATCTCCGCAATGCAGACCCCGTGGCGCAAGGGTAAAACACTCGCTCGGCACTCTGCATGCTGGCCTGGGTTCGTATCCTGGCCGGGGAGGATTGACTGGGCACCAGTCCTTAACTGTAGTCGCTGTTCACCCAGCAGTGAATGGGTACCTGGTTCCATTCACCTGGTTTGTATGGTCTCGAACCGTGGACTCCACGCGTGTGAGGCCGTGGCTCTATTATGAGCTATGGCCTCACACGCGAGGGGTCCAGGGTTCGAGACCCATACAGTCCAGGGGAATGGAATGTTTATTTCCACGGAAGTGTGGCTACCTGGTTGTTAAACAATCTGGCGGGTCGTATTCCGGGAAAAATTAGGATTAAGGACCTGCCCGAAATGCTATGCGTGCTGGTGGCTGGACACGAGTGTAAGAACTCTTATATAAATAACTAAATCAACAAATAAATCTCAGCTGTGTTTGCTAGTTTCATTGTGATTGTAGTGGATGCCTTGAGTTTGGGCTGGCACCAGTGGAAGGTGATCTTTATTGGTTTGTGAATTGTAATGTTATCATTTCCTCACATTTGAGTGAGAGATTGCTCTTTTTTTTCAACGAACTTGATAGTGAGGGATAACACAAGTTCTACTTTTCCAGTATTTTGGATATAAATGTATATTAAATTTCTTCAAGAGGCAGTATCAATGATTTTCTGGCAGGTTGCCTGAGAGAGTGTTGGGGATGGTGGGGGAGAGGGAGGGGTGTGGCGGTGTGTCACCGAGCGGTAATGACCATTACCCTTACCTCTCCCTCCCTCCATTAGTGCCACAGAGTCCCAACCCGTCCTAATAGAACGTCGCATTTTGCCGTATACTCTACCTAAGGTTAAAAAAAAGTACTAGAAAATGGTAGCGGCTCGCAAAAATGTCATACTGTCTCGTTTTTTATTTTGGGTCCTCTGGTAGGTTAGGATAAGGGCACTTTAGTACGAGTTTTTGACGTTGGGAAACCTTAGGCGGACGGGCTACCGAATCAAGTTCAATTACGTTTATTGAGGCAATAAAATACATCTCAAAGGGCTAGAGTAGCTTAGGCTATTTCTACCCCTACAGCTTTCCCTCCATTATTGTAGTTTGGTCCCTCTCCCCAGAGGGGAGACGGGAGGGGAGTGCCTGTAAGCCTAGTAGTCTCCCGGAGCGAGATCTCTCCTTTTTAGGTCGCGCGGCTCTTGCCTTCTTCCTTTTAGTACCTGGTTCTTTCAGATCTCTTAACGTGCTCAGGTGGCAGTGCAGGTCTCTCGTAAGCACTGAAGTCTTCTGGTCATTCACCTCCTCCACACACCTGGCTGTCAGCCTCCATCTTGTGTTTACATTGTGTCCTCACTCCTTCCCGCTCTCTCCTCTCCCACTCGCCTCCAATTTAGTAGCTCCGATGAGCTTTTCAATTAAATCTAAGACTTCTCCAAATGGGTACCACGTGTTTCATAACACATCTCGACAAGTATTTTAATCCACAGGTAGTCTTTAACATAAAAACCAATGAGGCTAGGATATCTGGTGGCCCATGCACCTGATGAAAAGCTGGGATGCAAACTCCAGCATTAATCGGTATCCTTAAACAATGGGCCCAGGATGTGTACTTGCTCCCGCGTGCACGAAACTCTGGACTGAAAGTTTCAAATGAAGATTACTGAGGTGCAAGAACTCTGCAAAACGTCTGCCCCAACATACATGTTTGAGCACCAAATCAACAGTGCCTGTTTTAACTAGATTTATATATATTTGGCAGCGAACCTCTGCATTCTTGTTATATCTTACAAATCTTTTCATTCTTTTCCCGCCCTCTCATCACATATTTCATCAGTTAAACTTATTATTATCTCTTATTTTTTTTAATGTGTGTCGGGTTACCCTGAATAAGCTAGTCACTTATTCTTACGGGACTGGAATGTTGTCACCGGTATTATAACAGCAAACCGGCGCCCATTGTATTGATGTAGTACAGTAAGGAAGTATTTCTACACACACACACACACACACGTGTGAATTGTTACCCTATGTTATTATGTATGTGAGAAGACATTACCATTACTTAATGAAGGATTTGTTGAGACCTTCAACACCCTCTTTGTTCCACCCTTGTTGTGTGTTTCAAACTGTTTGCGCTTCTCTGCCTCGCTCTCTTCTTTCTTATTCTTATTAATCAAGATCTTCCTTCCTCGTCTTCGTTATAGTCTTCCGTGTTCATACATCCCTCAGCATGGGGAAGGAAAATCTTACTCTTTACTTCCCCATCTCTTATTCAATGCCATTTTTAGTACTGTATATATATTGTAATTTATATATAATGATATATTTTTCGTTCATTGCCGATATCATGTGCTTCTTGTCTATCACTACCTTCTTTCTTTCGCTTTTCAATCTGTTTTTGTTTTCGATTTTTACAATATCATAGGCTATTATTAAATTATTCTTTCTAATATTATGTGTTGGCTGTGTGGTTCCTACTTTCAGTACTTTTTAATTTACCATTTCTTACCTATTTGTTTTGCCTTCATATTAATCCTTTAATATATCTCGTCCATACATTCATTCCGTGCTGCTGCTTGGGTTCACGTGACACTTGCGCCACGTCTCAAAGCTGCCCACGCCCTCTCTCATCATGAAAAATATGATGAAATACTCATGATTTCTTGCGCAATACTATTCCCAGCTAATTTTTCTTTGTATCAAAACGAACCTAAAGCGATCCAACCTAGCCTAACCTAGTGTAGCCTAATTAAACCTAACCCAACCCAACCTAAGAACCTCAAGTAGCCAAACCCAAGGTAACCTAGTCATGCAGTTTTAACAATACAAAATATCAGCTGGGAAGGGGGTGTGTATTAGGTGAGGGCGGGTGGTTGTCACCAGACAAGTGAGACGCGTGATGCGTCCTGCCCCATCTCTGCTCTCCCTTACCAATACTCACCATTGTCTCTAATATATAATCTGCTTTCTTTTTACTCCGAGGCTATTGTCACTTTTGCTACAAAATCAATTAACTTTTGTACATAAATATGGAGGGATCGTCTACGGTTTAAAATTTGTTATTTTAGTTATTTACTGCTCTTAATCTTTGACATATAAGGCTGTAATAACTTAGGTGAAGGGTAATACAGGCCAAGAACAGGTATATAGGACATGCACAAATGTAGTGAGGTGAGGGGGAAAATATTATTGAATGTTGAGGTGTGTAATATTTGTGTGGGTGTCTCCCAGCAGCAAGCGTCGCAGGTGTCGAGCGAGTGCAAGATGTGCGGGAAGCAGGTGTTCCAGATGGAGAAGATCGTGGCCGAGAAGGCGTCCTGGCACAAGAATTGCTTCCGCTGCAAGGAGTGTAACTCCCTCCTCACGTGGGTATACCTTCCAGTCAACTAACTCTCTCACCACACTTGTGTACTCTCTCACACACACACACACACAATAGTAATAAGGAATAATAATAATAAATAATAATAAATAATAATAATAATAATAATAAAGTGGTAATAAGGAAAGATGCCAGAGGCAACTTCTCCTACCATGCTGCAATTTTCGACTTTCCATCACTACTACTGAAGCTCCGCGGTTCGAGTCTCCGAGAGCCCAGGTGAAGGGAATGTTTATTCCACAGAAGTGTGGATGACAAATTGTTATGTTTAACCAGCCTCCAGTAACTTTAACCAATAAGTTCCAAAGATAATGGAACAAACGGAAGGAAATGCAGAATAGAAATGCAGTAGGGGTGCCATAGGTACAATCAGAGAGCACTGTCTTAACATCAGAGGTCCTCGGCTGTTCAACACCCTCGCAGCAAGCACTACAAATATTGCCGGAACAAAGGTGGATGTATTTAAGAGGCACTTAGATAAGTTCTTGTTAGAAGTGCCGGACCAACCAGGCTGTAGTGGATTTGTAGGCCCGCGGACCACCCCACACGGTGGTGTGGAGGCGTCCTTAGAGATGGAGTGCAGGAGGGACGAGGTCACCGCCACATGCCCCAGGAAGTCAATATGCTCCTCAGAGGACCCTGATCAAACACGGTTGTATATAATGATAGTTAATTACATATAAGCAGGTGATTAGCCTAAGTATAGTAAGTAGCGATCAGATTGAACGATAATGATCAATCAACATTGTGTTGTGGTGATAATGAGCCTTAGCGTAAGTGGCTGTGTTCAGCCTTTTTAAGTTAACACGGCCAAGTATCAGTAGTGGCGGACTCGGTGACCTGTCCAAGAGTACGAGTCACCAGCTGGAGCACTGAGTATTGTGTTAAGGAGCCGCGTGAGTGACGTTGTTGTCCCCCGACAGGTTGGAGACGTACCAGAGCCACGAGGGCGTACTCTACTGCAAGCCTCACTTCAAGGACCTCTTCCGCCCCAAGGCTGTCATCGAGGACCCCGACGAGGCACGCAAGGAACGATGTAAGTACCCTACTCTCTCTATCCGTGTGTGTGTATGTGTTTGTATGTGTATGTGTGTGTGTATATATAAACTTGCCATATCGTCGCTCCTTAGAAAGTTTTGGGGTACATGAGTCGTTATCTGTGTACCGTATGTGACTGTGTACCACAAGTGTTTGTGAATGGTTTGAGTGCATCATGTACTCACCTAGTTGTACTCACCTAGTTGTGTTTGCGGGGGTTGAGCTCTGGCTCTTTGGTCCCGCCTCTCAACCGTCAATCAACAGGTGTACAGATTCCTGAGCCTATCGGGCTCTGTCATATCTACACTTGAAACTGTGTATGGAGTGAGCCTCCACCACATCACCCTCTAATGCATTCCATTTGTCAACCACTCTGACACTAAAAAAGTTCTTTCTAATATCTCTGTGGCTCATTTGGGCACTCAGTTTCCACCTGTGTCCCCTTGTGCGTGTTCCCCTTGTGTTAAATAGACTGTCTTTATCTACCCTATCAATCCCCTTCAGAATCTTGAATGTGGTGATCATGTCCCCCCTAACTCTTCTGTCTTCCAGCGAAGTGAGGTTTAATTCCCGTAGTCTCTCCTCGTAGCTCATACCTCTCAGCTCGGGTACTAGTCTGGTGGCAAACCTTTGAACCTTTTCCAGTTTAGTCTTATCCTTGACTAGATATGGACTCCATGCTGGGGCTGCATACTCCAGGATTGGCCTGACATATGTGGTATACAAAGTTCTGAATGATTCTTTACACAAGTTTCTGAATGCCGTTCGTATGTTGGCCAGCCTGGCATATGCCGCTGATGTTATCCGCTTGATATGTGCTGCAGGAGACAGGTCTGGCGTGATATCAACCCCCAAGTCTTTTTCCTTCTCTGACTCCTGAAGAATTTCCTCTCCCAGATGATACCTTGTATCTGGCCTCCTGCTCCCTACACCTATCTTCATTACATTACATTTGGTTGGGTTAAACTCTAACAACCATTTGTTCGACCATTCCTTCAGCTTGTCTAGGTCTTCTTGAAGCCTCAAACAGTCCTCTTCTGTTTTAATCCTTCTCATAATTTTAGCATCGTCCGCAAACATTGAGAGAAATGAATCGATACCCTCCGGGAGATTTTTTACATATATCAGAAACAAGATAGGACCGAGTACAGAGCCCTGTGGGACTCCACTGGTGACTTCACGCCAATCGGAGGTCTCACCCATCGCCGTAACTCTCTGCTTCCTATTGCTTAGATACTCCCTTATCCACTGGAGCACCTTACCAGCTACACCTGCCTGTCTCTCCAGCTTATGTACCAGCCTCTTATGCGGTACTGTGTCAAAGGCTTTCCGACAATCCAAGAAAATGCAGTCCGCCCAGCCCTCTCTTTCTTGCTTAATCTGTGTCACCTGATCGTAGAATTCTATCAAGCCTGTAAGGCAAGATTTACCCTCCCTGAATCCATGTTGGCGATTTGTCACGAAGTCCCTTCTCTCCAGATGTGTTACCAGGTTTTTTCTCACGATCTTCTCCATTACCTTGCATGGTATACAAGTCAAGGACACTGGCCTGTAGTTCAGTGCCTCTTGTCTGTCGCCCTTTTTGTATATTGGGACCACATTCGCCGTCTTCCATATTTCTGGTAGGTCTCCCGTCTCTAGTGATTTACTATACACTATGGAGAGTGGCAAGCAAAGTGCCTCTGCACACTCTTTCAGTACCCATGGTGAGATCCCATCTGGACCAACCGCCTTTCTAACATCCAGATCCAGATGTGGTGGTGGTGGTGCGCAGTGTGTAAAATGTGACGCTGCATCTATCCTGTGAGTGTATGGACCTACATAATTGTGCCCCAAGACGTCTAATGCGATCAATCCTGATTGAAATTTCGCCGATCTTAAGTACTTTGACATTTTGGATTGAGGTGGCTTCTACTACCTTCTCATTTATTTAAATTTCTTGCTACTAACCCGAAAAAATACTTCTACACATCTGTATGACGCTTGTGTGTCTGGAGCGTCCACCTTATTTTGTTTTTGTATTCTCTACTGCCTTGTTTATTTTCGTCAGTATGCCGTAGGTTCATTAGGCACGGTTTCCCATCCTTAAAGCCGTGTTGATGCTTTTCTTACAAACATAATTCTGTCTAGATGTTTACTCTGTTGGGGATGTTTGACAATGACACTTGCCTGTATGCGAGCGCCTCCGTCCTGTTCCCTTTCTTATATTTATATATATATTGGTACCATATTGGCCGTCTTCCAGTTGCCAGGTAACTGCCGTCGCTTACGCATGAGTCACAACGTGTGTGAAGATATCATGACCAAAACACACATCAGAAAAATGAAGAAACAACGACATTTTGGTCTGTCGTGGACCGATTGAATAATGGTCTTGGACAGACGGAAACGTCGCCGTTTCTTCATTTTCTGATGTGGTGTTTGGTCATCCTGCTCTCGCTTAGTGCATCACTAAAGATACTAGAGGTGTTGACCAAACCACACACTAGAAATTGAAGAGACAGAGTCACTGTCACACTGTGAGTGACCGTGCACATGTAAGTGGACGTATGCACTCTTGACTGGTGCACAGTACCTCCGGGGTGTAATGGATGTGGCCTACGGACAATTCGAAGCCACAGCCTGTTGGACCAAGCTCTCACAAGTCAACCTGGCCCCCTGGCTGGCATGGTTGTGGGGTAGTGGTCGTGGTGCACCATGGTGGGCACCTGGTGGTGTGGTGGTGGTGGACCATGGTGGTGGTGGTGGACCATGGTGGTGGTGGTGGTGGTGGTGGGGTGGAGTGCGGGGGCATGAGACAGTGCGGTACACAACATGGGGTCGCGTGTCTCAGTTGATTCCTTCCGGTTTTTGCTGATTGTGAATTTTCTGTTTCAATATTATCCAGTTTTTGGAATTATGATCCTCGTCGTGTTGATGTGTGTGTTTGTCGCATGGGCACGCGTGCGTCTGTCTGTGTGTGTGTGTGGGTGCAGGTCATGAGACCTGTGGCACGGAATGTACTGCAGGTCTTGTGTGGGGTACTGTGATGGTGGGTTACTGTGCACGGTGGGTTACTGTGCACGGTGGGTTACTGTGCACGGCGGGGTACTGTGCAGGGCGGTGTGTGAAGGAGAGGTGAAGGTTGGTGCTCTAGGCTTGTATAGTGAACCTGGGTTACCCTCAGGGTGGTGTATAGTGTCGCAGTTCGACCAGGTTGTATTGGAACTCCTGGTGTATTATTGTCCTCAGGTTGTATATATAGGTCTGGTGCATAATTAACTCAAGTAAACTGGAAAACTGTGTAGTGATGTCCAGAACATGGTTCCTTTTATGGTGTGTGAGGGGGGGGGGGGGGGGGGGTGGCGTTCCTCTTGTGTTGTCTTGGGGTATATTGTGTTTTTGTGATATGATGGAGTATTCTCAGGGTTTACCAGTGTGGGTGTTTAAGGTTTACCAGTGCGGGTGTTTAAGGTTTACCAGTGCGGGTGTTTAAGGTTTACCAGTGTGGGTGTTTAAGGTTTACCGGTGTGGGTGTTTAAGGTTTACCAGTGCGGGTGTTTAAGGTTTACCAGTGTGGGTGTTTAAGGTTTACCAGTGTGAGTGTTTAAGGTTTACCGGTGTGGGTGTTTAAGGTTTACCAGTGTGGGTGTTTAAGGTTTACCAGTGTGGGTGTTTAAGGTTTACCAGTGCGGGTGTTTAAGGTTTACCAGTGCGGGTGTTTAAGGTTTACCAGTGTGGGTGTTTAAGGTTTACCAGTGCGGGTGTTTAAGGTTTACCAGTGCGGGTGTTTAAGGTTTACCAGTGTGGGTGTTTAAGGTTTTCCAGTGCAGGTGTTTAAGGTTTACCAGTGCGACTGTTTAAGGTTTACCAGTGTGAGTGTTTAAGGTTTACCAGTGCGGGTGTTTAAGTTTTTCCAGTGTAGGTGTTTAAGGTTTTCCAGTGCAGGTGTTTAAGGTTTACCAGTGCGACTGTTTAAGGTTTACCAGTGTTAGTGTTTAAGGTTTACCAGTGCGGGTGTTTAAGGTTTACCAGTGCGGGTGTTTAAGGTTTACCAGTGCGGGTGTTTAAGGTTTACCAGTGTGGGTGTTTAAGGTTTACCAGTGCGGGTGTTTAAGGTTTACCAGTGCGGGTGTTTAAGGTTTACCAGTGTGGGTGTTTAAGGTTTACCAGTGTGGGTGTTTAAGGTTTACCAGTGCGGGTGTTTAAGGTTTACCAGTGCGGGTGTTTAAGGTTTACCAGTGCGGGTGTTTAAGGTTTACCAGTGCGGGTGTTTAAGGTTTACCAGTGTGGGTGTTTAAGGTTTACCAGTGTGGGTGTTTAAAGTTTACCAGTGTGGGTGTTTAAGGTTTACCGGTGTGAGTGTTTAAGGTTTACCGGTGCAGGAGGTGGTAGTTTACCAGGGCTGCCATGTTGGTGTTGGTGAGGTTGGCAGCTTAAGGTAATCTAGGATGATGAGAGTTGCGTCCCGCGGACAGACGCTGCCCTCCACCCCGCGGGGGGGGGGGGGGGGGGGGGAAGGTCACAGTCAAAGGTCACGCTCACCAATTAGTTACTTACTTACTTTGACCTAAATTCTCTTCTAGGGTGTTCAAGCCATTTCGTGGGTCTGAACAGCCTCTGATGCAGTTGGTATTAGACTCCCAGTTCAGAACCACGAAGGAAAATCTCATTGAAGATTAAATCACAAAAAACTATAAATGATTATATCTGGAGCGATGATAAGATTAGATATAATAACAAAGAGTAATAATAATATTTCAAGTCATGCGACCGTGTGGGGGGGGGATGTTAGGGGGATGGCAGCGTGTGGTGTGTGTGGTGGAGGGATGGCAGCGTGTGGTGTGTGTGGTGGAGGGTGGCAGCGTGTGGTGTGTGTGGGGAGGGATGGCAGCGTGTGGTGTGTGTGGGGGAGGGATGGCAGCGTGTGGTGTGTGTGAGGGAGGGATGGCAGCGTGTGGTGTGTGTGAGGGAGGGATGGCAGCGTGTGGTGTGTGTGGGGGAGGGATGGCAGCGTGT